AGAGAACAAGGGGTGAGAGGGTCACCCCTCTCTGATTTTAGGGCTCAAAAACACATCTAAGCCACTGAAAATCCACTGGATTTCAGTGGAGAAAAGGCCAAACCAAGACCAATGCAAATGCTCAAATGCATGGCTCAAAGCATGAGGAAATGAGGCATGAAAGGGGGTAGATGACCCCGACCAGAAAAATGACATTGAACAAACTTGAAGTGAAGCTAAAAAAAAGACTTTTTTTAGTTTATGTCGAAGTCCAAAAATGCTTGCAAATAGGGATAAACTATGGAGCAAAACAATGTCAAAATGGAGAAAATGAGGACTTACCCTTGTAGCACAGCAATGTAGCAAGTTCTGGACCAAGAAAGTGAGTCTTCAACCTCTGAAAAACAGCTCCAAGATGATTGAATGGATGGTGGAGGTGGTAGGCTATGAGGTGTGGTGTAATGGCCAAGAACAATGGGGTATTTGAGCTTGGATGAGAGAGATATGGAGGTTGGAGTGTATATGCCTTGGCTGGTTTTTCTAACCCTTGCAAATGGAGGGGGAGTGATGGTTTTATAGAGGAGAAGAGCCAAGACTTCTTAGAGAAGCCTCAAGAGAGGGTCAAAGCTTCTCAAAGACGCTTAACCAAAAGGGTCAAGCTTCTTGAGGAAGCTAGACCAAAGGGGTCAAGCTTCTCCTTTGAAGCTAAGAAAATGGACCAAAGCTTCCTTAAAAAGACAAACAAGAGGGTGAAATCTCGGAGAGAGAGTCAAATGCTTCACAGCTGGCACAACTGTGTTGCACTCAGGAAGGCCAAAAAGTAGAAGGTAGGCCGACCAGTTCAAGTGGTCGGCCGACCACTTACCCTGGTCAGCCGACCAGGGTTCAAAAGGGTCAAGCTGAAATGCTGGTCGGCCATACCAGAAAGGTGGCCTCCCAGATGAGTAGAATACAGCTGTATGGTGGGAGACCAGAAAATGTGACCCAGCAGAGAGAAAAACTAGTTTTCTAGCAAGGTTCAAAAGGGTCTGGAAGAAAAGCTGGTCGGCCTACCCATATTGCTAGCCTCCCAGATGAGTACAACACAATGGTGGTATGGGAGACCAGAAATTAAGGTCCAAAAGTGAAAAAAACTAGCTTTCTGTCAAGAAAACTGGCTGGAGGAGAGAGAAAATGGTTTTCAAAAGAATTGCTGGTCTCTTACCATCCTACCACCTTCCAAACAATGAAAATAGGGTCCATACCAAAAATGAACCCTAACCGATGCAAAACGAGGGTTCGGGGGCCGAAACACGTGGCTTGGGGCCCCGAAAATAGGCTGTTAGGTACCGGAAGTAGCGTGCGACCACGAAGGTGGTCTCTCGGGCGACAGTGTCCCTCAAAAGAGAGGAAACAAGGTGTGTGCCAAAAACCGGAGCAAAGGGATGTAGTTAAGCGGTCCCGAATCGAGGCACACGGCCGACGGCTCCGAAAACCGAAAACTGGTCTCCAAACGGGAAAAATGGCCTACGACCACGAAACGTAGCCTACGGCCACTAAGAGATGGTCTACGAAACCTCTCCCTCCCTTTGGGAAAAGAAAACGAAAAAAACAAAACCTGGTTCGCAAACCGAGGCAAAACACAAAAGAGCTCCGAAGTCTGGAGGCAAGGCTCGCAGCCGAGACTCTGAAACCTCAGAACGAGCATAATATGCATCATCACCGAGCGCTCAATCGGTGACGTCTGAGTCTTAAGGTCGGTCAAAAATGGGGTGTCTACAGTTGCCCCTCTTTGACAGAACTCGGAAGTCATAAGTGACGGGAGTGAATGTCAAAGCCCAGAGACGACCCATTTTTGACAAGGCCGAAGACTTAGACAAACAGGCGAGACAGAAGAGATGTGCCCGCAGGCATGTCCGCAGGCAGGGGGCATGATGCAGAATGATATGCACCGAGCCAGACGTAACTCATGATCATGCAAAGCAGCAAGCTGTAATGAGGCAAGTATTCATAATAGATGCAACAGTTTTAAGCAAGAATGCAAAGCAACAACTACATTTCATGTAGTTTAAGAATGCGGAGAATTATTCAATTCTCGCCACGTCTCACACGGAGAAGATACAATACCTGCGCGGC